TTTTTAAATTTGGGTCAAAAAGGAAAAAAAAAAAAAAAAAAAAAAAAAAAAAGAGAGTGTATTTTAGCCTTTAAAATATCCAATTATATACGAAATTATTTAGTGATAATCATTAGTATACATATCATATAGTACTGAACTGAGATTTTCATTTCCGCTATTGGACGATTCAGTTTTGTGAAGCTGGAACTGGAATTCCATCGTCGAAGCTGTTGATCAAGGGAGGCACGGTTGTGAATGCTCACCACCAACAGGTTGCCGATGTTTACGTGGAAGATGGCATCATTGTTGCCATCAGTCCTACCATCACGGTATCTTTTCTCATGTGCTTAACGTTTCTAGTTTGTATGCTGTGTTAACCCTCTGGCATTGATTTCTAGCACCTTGTGTTTCTATTACTTTCTGCTTTCTATTGTGTAGTTTGATTCCATTGGCAGGTTGGAGATGAGGTGACTGTGATAGATGCCACTGGAAAGTTTGTCATGCCAGGTTGGGCCTTAAACTTTCAACATAACACCTACACTAAAATTCACCACTAGTTAATATTGATATTTACACTAAACTAGAAAAATATATTAGATCCTGCTAGAATGAATGTGATAGATGAAGGATATGTGGACATAACATAAGATCATTGGAAGATACATATGTATCTTGTCTTCTTGCATCTACTTCAAATTCTTGTATAAAACAATATTTTAGTCCTTAGGCACCAGATGAGTCTGATACACCCATACACTCCTTGCCTTTCTATAATGTATTCCAAACTGGTGGAATTGCTATTCATGCCCCTCACTACTGCTAGTGTTATTATCTTTTATATGACATACTCCGGAATGCATCTTTTTGTTAACTGGCAGGGGGCATTGATCCTCACACCCACCTAGAGTTTGAGTTTATGGATACAACAACTTTAGATGACTTCTTCAGTGGTCAGGCTGCAGCACTAGCTGGTGGGACAACAATGCACATTGACTTTGTTATACCACTTAAAGGAAGTTTAACAGCTGGTTTTGAAGCCTATGAAAAGAAGGCAAATAAGTCTTGCATGGATTATGGTTTCCATATGGCTATTACCAAATGGGATGAAACTGTGTCAAGAGAAATGGAGCTCATGGTCAATGAGAAAGGTCATAGTCTATATCCTTGTTGCATTTTAATAATTTGGCTGATTGTGTGGCAATAACCCTTTGAACGAGTTGTGAAGAATTTATTTCAGGTAGTACATATTTGTTCTGTAATTACAGGTATCAACTCTTTTAAGTTTTTCATGGCATACAAAGGAGCTCTTATGATCAATGACGAGCTTCTTCTGGAAGGATTTAAAAAGTGCAAGTCTCTTGGTGCCTTAGCTATGGTCCATGCAGAAAATGGAGATGCTGTGTATGAAGGGCAGAAAAAAATGATAGAACTTGGAATAACTGGCCCCGAGGGGCATGCTCTTTCAAGGCCTGCAGTGGTAAATTCTCATGTTTGTTCTTTTTTAAAGAATTTACATAACAGTGGAATGAAAATATTGGCCACTTCTGATCTCTTTTCATCTTCTTCATTATCTTACCAATCAATAGTGCATGTGAACATGATTTTCACACATATTTAAAATTTCCCTTTTCATCTTACTAGGATTTGTTGCACAAGAGGTGTTTTTATGAATCAGAAACGTGAAGGGGTTTTCATTAATCTATTTGCTGATGAGTTTCTGATACATATATAGAGCATAAATAAATACATAGCAACACATTTTGAACTGCCTAACAGGTATGGGTAACCTGTCCAACATCATTACATAGCTGAGCACACTCCAAAAGGTTGAGTCTTGCAGTAGACTAACAAACACACCAACTACAACATAAATTTTAGATAAAAGTTCACATTACAAAATACTGTTGTCATCAGAAATTTCAGCTGCTTCAACAGGATTCCTTCGTAGCATATGTACTTGAGACAAATTAACTGTTTTTATGTTTGACATTTGTTGTGTTCAATTTCATGTGACTTTATAAACCACATATAGGAGGTATGTTGTCGTATTAAATACATGTTATGTTTTCTTATGTGATTCTTGTAAAGTCTAAATATCTGTCTCTGTGATTTATAGAACATTTCTTTATTTGACTTTGGTATACTTATGTAGTTGGAAGGAGAGGCAACTGCTCGTGCTATTCGCTTAGCTGATTTTGTGGACACTCCTTTATATGTGGTTCATGTAATGAGCATTGATGCTATGGAAGAAATTGCAAAGGCCCGGAAATCAGGTTCTTTAATCCTTTTAGAGTTAGTCTCGACTTGAATCTGTTAAGCCATACTAGAAAGAAGTTGTCTCCAGAAACCCAGATGACTAATATAAGTGAAACACTCTCTATAATCTCTTTGAAATTGAGTTCTGTTGAATTTTACTATAATCATGTTTGTCTTGTTCTATGATCAGAGCCCCCTTGTGTTTTTCTTTTCCCACCTCTCCATGATGAATTAAAGCATCTTTTTGGCAGAAACTAAATTTAAATTTTTTGTGGCCATGAAGAAGGAACAAATTTATACATCATGTTTTATCCTCACTTTTAAGTTTATAACTTGTTCACATTTATTCTATCTTTGCTAATGCTCTGAACTGTACAAAATGCAAGCGCCTTATCACAAAAGACTAGTTCATTAGGTGAGAGAGTACCTGATGACTTAAGTATCACATTGAGTTTTCTATTCTTAACGTGTGATTCAAAAGTAACATGTTAGTTTTAATTGATAACTAGTCTTAGTGTGCTCCCCTGCTTGTTTTGAAACTAGATAATAGGCAATTAGTTTATATTTTTTCCTCCATGACATTTTTGTTCCACTGATTGCTTGCTTTCATGCTGCAGGACAAAGGGTAATTGGAGAACCTATTGCCTCTGGCTTAGCCCTTGATGAATCTTGGCTCTGGCATCCTGACTTCGAGACTGCAGCAAAGTAAGTGCCTTCACTTGTTTCATTGTTTTTTGTTGTTTTCTTTTATTCTCTCCAGCTGTAAGAACATAAGCCATATTCATTCTCATGATTCAGGTATGTCATGAGTCCCCCTATTAGGAAACGAGGACATGATAAGGCCCTTCAAGCTGCCCTTTCAACAGGAGTTTTGCAGGTTTCACATTATAATTAGGATAGTCTCAACCATGAAATGCATCCTAGAACTTTTCGTTGTTTCTGAACTTTGTATTATCTAATGCTCTGAACTCAATTTTATTATTTTTCCTAAGATTGTTTATTTGACCAAGGGGTACCTTTTACAAATTTGCAGCTGATAGGAACCGATCATTGTGCCTTTAATTCCACCCAGAAAGCATTTGGAATTGATGACTTCCGTAAAATTCCTAATGGTGTCAATGGTAATCACATGATGGATGGCCCTAGTTATTTCTAGCCTAAATACATTCCCATTGATGTAAAATATTTCCTTACTTTTGTGCATTGCAACCTAATAGGTATTGAAGAAAGGATGCATTTGGTATGGGATATCATGGTGGTAAGATAATCAATTATCAGCTTAGTCTTCCATTTCATTTTAGATTGGGATGAAATGAAGAAGAGGATAACCTTTTAACTAGAATTTTTTGTTATATATCTCACAGGAATCTGGCCAAATATCTGTCACTGATTATGTCCGGTTGACAAGCACTGAATGGTATGTTTTCTGTTGATCAAAATAAAAATTAGCATCCAGTTCTTATGGAAATAAGGGAAACTCGAGTATTTAATTATTTTAATATTAATTTGATGAATCTGTTTGGTAAAGATGTCAAAGTATTGCTGATATCTTTTATTTCTACAATCATTTTAGTGCTAGAATCTTCAATATATATCCAAGGAAAGGAGCTATTCTCCAGGGATCTGATGCAGATATTATCATCCTCAATCCAAATTCAAGCTTTGAGATAACTGCAAAGTCCCACCACTCCAGACTGGACACAAATGTCTTTGAGGGAAGGAAAGGAAAGGTATTGATTGAATTATAATTTGGTTCATCTAAGGATTGAAGTTGATTAACTGGTTAGTGACAACATGAGTACACCACAATGTCCTTGTTTTGGTTTAATATGAATTCCTTAACTAGTGCCCTGAGGGTATTCGTTAGCATTTTCTCAATGAGAATAATGAATTATTCTTAAAAACTCAAGTGCGCTACTTGAGGCTTTTCCCCCTTAAGTACATAACTCTCTCTCTCCATCACCTTCTAGGCTTTGAGTATCCCCACTCATTACTTGATCTGTTCATATTGTGCTTTTTATTTTGTTGCCTTGTTCGTGTCCTATGGCTCCATTCAATGTGTTCTTGTATGTGTACAGTTCAGTAATTAAAGCCTTGTGATGTAATATCAATATTCAAAGTACTTTTTTTCAGGGGAAAATTGAAGTGACTATTGAAGGAGGAAGAGTTGTCTGGGAAAATAATGAACTGAAGGTTGCTCCTGGTACTGGTAGATATATAAAAATGCCACCCTTTAGTTATTTGTTTGATGGAATGGACATAAAGGATGCTTTTTATCTAAATTCCCTTCAAGCCCCTGTGAAGCGAGCCAAATCCAGCACTTAAAAAATTTCTGAAATCCTTTTAGTCAAATTTCAACATTATACTTGGTGAAGGAGGGGGACAAAGATGTATGTTAATCTAGTTTTCTGTTCAAATAAATTTATATATATATATATATATATATGTAGTGGGAGCATCATAAGTACATTTCAATACATACTAGATATGCTTTATGTCACCTTTTACTTTTACACTTTCGTAATGTATTTGCTTGTTGTCCAAATCTTTTAAGAGAAAAAGAGAGAATAGCTTTAATGACGTACTGAACAATATGTAGCACACTCAGATTATGGAACCTGCTGGGCAGGTTTTATCCGGTATGCCAAAAATTTATACATTGCTTGGAGTTTCGAAAGCTCCAAGAATATCAAAAAGTCTCACATTATTTTGGTAATTAAGAATAATTTATAAACATCTTTCTTTTTAAATCTTGAGACGTCTTTTTAATAATAAAACTAGAATCGAACAATACATTGAACTCAAAGATGTTAATGAGTCATGGGTCAGAATCTCTTTCTTTTGTTCCTTATTCATCATAATATCATGATTAAATTTACATAAATACTTACGGTCATAAAGGACACTAATGACACAATTATTTAATTCCTATAATTAGACAATCTAATTATATACATTGAATGAACAAATTATATACATCATAAAATAAGATAGATTTTTACATGATCCTCTATTGACATGGATCCTCATGATATGTCAAAAAGTCTTATATCTCTTAAGATATAAGATGAATGGTAGTTTATCAATACCTTTCTTTCTTTAAGATACCTTTTCAAGAGTAAATTCGGGAGCAATAATACCTTCAATGCAGAGACCCTTACTAACAAGTCATTCACAACTCTTAAAAGAAAAGATCAACCCGGGACTGGACAATACTTTGAATGTGATGACCTTAACTAGTCATGGATCCCTCGTGCTATTATCCTTTGATTTGAAAATCAAGGAGTGGCTATGGTATTATGGTTCTTAGCTAATCACGGCCTAATGCAACAATTTAAGTAGGCCAGAATCCTCTTTTTCCCCTGCATGGTGAATTAGACATTGTATTCCCTGATTACATATGCTAGTGTCATTTTGCTTAAATGATTTTGTGACTGAAATAGGAACTAAAGAAAGTGTTCTCACCATGGAAACAGGATGAGCACGACCACGCCTGCTTACATGATGAGCCTGACCATGATTATTGGCATTGACAAAATCCCCTTCATCATCAAGGCTTACATGTCTGATTTCAGTGAGGTTAATCTTCTGATGCCTTTTCATTGAACGAACCCGAGCGAACATGATTGTATAGCTGTTGGCTTCCGGTGCATTTTGGTCCCACCCTCCAAATTGAGGCACAGAAATCATAGCAGGTGTTACCTGCACAAGGATAGTATTACTCAGTACCTTTGTTGTTTCTCAAAAAAGAATTTGTTTACAGGGTGTATTGGAAATTTCATTCTGAACTTGTATTGGTTATTACACCCCTTGTGCACACTAACTATTTCTTTTTATGAGTGAACCTGTGTATCTTCTCATCCGAAACTAAAGACTAGTCTTTCGAGATATTAAAGATTTGTTTTTCAGTTCAAGGTTCCAAGCTTTCAATACTAGCATAAGAAAATAAGGTTTAATCTTGATCTTGCATTGGTTAACACCCCATAATAAATGCACATCAACCAATTCAAGCACAAGGCTAAAATCCCATGCAGCATACTGTGGAGTTTTATCTAATTTGGATCACTACAGAAACTAGGCAGTCTATGAAATCAAGTAAATTAAGAAACACCCAAATGAACTTTGAAATATTACAAGGAAACACTGAATGTCTACCTGTGATAAAAACAATAAAGTTTATTAACAAATGTGCATAGTAGCATCATATATAAAAAATTTTTTGTTATTTCATATACTTGGTTCCTGGTTCTTGTCATGGTTAAAGAATATTGCAGACCAAATAGTGATGATATATATTTTATGTTGATTTTAGGCTTAGAATTACCTCCATATGATTCATGGCCTAATGAGGAGGCGAGGGACATGGGAATGTGGAGATGCAACTAACTAGATCAAGGTGCTTATTACTGCTATTTCTTCAATATTTAATTGAAAGGTGTTTGAATGTTCTAGTCATGGGGTATTTTAACTATGAAAAATTAGGATAAAACTCAAAATATCCGAACTTAAAGGAGGGGATAAACTTAACGTGTTTGTAGATATGAAGTCTTGTGATCTGAGTAAAAGTAGGACAAAAAAATGTGGCTGTCCACCTACTTTGTACAAATTAGAACATGATATTATCCAAGTTTAGGGGAAATGTGATGGTTATTCTATACCATAAGATATTTACATAATGCAGCTTTTTATCGATCACAAAAATAAAACGTAGAAATGAGTAAAACAAGAAACGTAAAATAACTAACTTGTCAAACTAATTTCTGGTGTAAGCCACTTTCAGGTATGTCAATATTTTTGTCTTGTTGCTTTCTACATAATGAACGTCCACATATAACATCATATGATAGACTAAGACTTTAGTTTCTGTATTTCTCATGCAAAATATTTGCTATATATAATTAAATTTTCTAATAAATTAGTATAAATAAATATTATATTTAATGTATAAATTATATCTAAAATTTGTATATATAAATATTTTGAAATATATAAATTATATTTTAAATTTATAATAAATAATTTATATTATAATACAAGATTATTTTTAATTATTGAGAAAACATTTTAAAATATTAAAATTTTATTATAAATAAATATGATAAATAAAAATTTGAATTAAATAAAGAGTTATAAAAATAACTAAAAATACTTCCGTTAAAACTTAAAAACATTATCACATAAAATAATTGTTCATTTTTAAAATATAGATTGACTAATGATAAATAAATAAATAAAACTCACAATCTTGAGATGAAGCATGAGATTTTTGTTAGAATATATGATAATATGTTCTGATTTATTATAATACTTTGTTGGAAATCTTGTTTAGCATCAACGCACTAAGCATATTGAAATGGATATATATTTTATTCGAGAAAAGGTTGCTCGCGGCCAGGTTCGAGTGCTTCATGGCTCCTCACGTTATCAAATTGCAATCAAATTGCAGATATTTTCACCAAGGGTCTTCCGCTGGTGTTATTTGAGGATTTTTGAAATAGTCTTAGCATTCGGCGACCTCTTGCTTCGACTGCGGGGGTGTGTTAGAATATATGATAATATATTCTGATTTATTATAATATATGTTAAGCGTATATTTAGTTCCTTATTTATAGCTAATTTGTTTCCCAATTTTAGCCAAATTATACTCTGTATAATGTGTATATAAACGGATGATTCTAATAGAATGGATCAAGAAATTATTCTCTTTTAATTTTTGAAGTTTATAATATGTACTAATTCATTTTATTTTATTTTACTTTTTCGTATGTACAAATGTAACAATAAAAATTTAAAGCCTAGTATCTAATATAAATTATCCGAAACTATTATCTCTGCAATGACTCTAGCGATTTATTCTTTTTATTATTCTGTATATGTATAATATTTTTAATTTTCAATATAAAATTAAATAATATATAGATATTAACCTATGTTAAACTTAAAATTGAATGATTAAATCATAAATTCGATTTTTAAATTTATAATCATATTTTTATTTTAAGATTTTATCCATAAATTTTTTTATATAAATTTGAATAATTATCTTATTAGTATTTTATTTTTAGACAATCATTTTTTAACTAGTGTTTTTTGTTTTTTTTTTCCAACAAAAGTGTTTGCAAGAATTTTTCTTAACTTTTGGTTTGCCTATTTTTTAAAATTAAATTTTATCTTTTGAAAATAAATCATTAATACTTAAAAATAAATTTGTAACATAATATAAATTATTTATTATAAATTTAAAATAAAATTTATATATTTTAAAATATTTATTCATTATAAATTTTAGTCATATCAAAAATTATCTTTTATTAAATTATTAGTTAATCTTCTTTTTTGACTAATTATTTTCTCTGTTTATCAAAATTACATTAATAACATAATTCAAACTTACGATAATATACATATTATTTCCAATTCTCTTATCACTAGATTGACTCTAGTGTTTATCTTCTTTTTTTTATCCATGAAAATTGAACACAATTATCGGGGAGTTTACAACATTCACACACCTAACTCAACCAATTAAGATATATTACAAAACATGTGAATCAAATTTAAGTGTTTAAACACAAAATATCTTTTAATTGCAAAGTAACACAAAAGAAATACAAATTATTGTTTGGATATCACTACCTATTAGAGAAAAACCTAACATAAAACATAAATAACTACTTAGAAGACAGATCTCATCTATATTAACATCTTCAAGTTTAGTCTCACTTGCGAATGGCAATAAGTCCAAATACCATAAAATCAACATGACCCAATGAATTTTTTCCATGGGAAGTAATCTCTCTTAGAATTTAGGGTTAACAATCCATTGCAATCTCCACTAGCTTGGTTCTCTAGGCACTTTCTTACAAACACAACTTCTTCATGTAATAATGTATGATCACACAATATTCATGGTTTCACTTAGTTTCATAAAACATTTTTAAAAAGGCGCCTATTTCTTTAAACTATATCCTCATTTCAATCCCGTAACATAAGATTATTTTGATATTTTATATTCAATCATGCATACATTCATCATCTCATTCTCAAATCATTAGATCAATTATCTAATCACAAAAGGTATTCTTTAATTAGTTGTTTTTATGATTTTTACATATATTATTTCCTTTTAAAAATATTAAGTTAAAAAGTAAAAAATTTATAATTATTGCATGTACTTCTTTAACTTCACTACAAGAAATACATATATCAATAATTTTATACATGATCATTACTCTTCATTAATTAACTTCATCTAAAATTATCTCTTCAACGAAAAAATTCACCTTTTTAATTAGAATTTTGTCACAAATAAACTTCTTCAAATTATACACATGATTTGTTTACTCCTAGCTTTAATTTTCAATTTTCTTAACCTTTAAAATCATTATTAAATTATTCAAGAATTTAAATAAAGTTAAAATAGGAATGATTTGAAAATATCTTTGTTTGGTGCTTGGACAAGAAAATACACTAAAATCAATTATTTTACAAGTCCATCTCAAAATAAGTCTCATATAAAAAAAATCTCAAAATAAATATCATTTTAAATTTTTAATATAATATTAATTATTATTTTTTTCATCTACATTCTTAATAATAGAGCTGTCAAAATGGGCTCAGCCCGGTGAGCCAACCCGGCCCACCACGAGTTCGAGCCGGGTTAGGCTAAAAAAAAATTAAAAATTTCAGTGTGGGCCAATTTTAAACCCGGCTCACCCGGGTTAAACCCGTGGTGAGCCGGGCTGACCACCAACCCATAAAAAATAAAAAAACCTTATGCTATTGGGCCAACCTCATTCTTTTCCGCCCTAACCCTAATCAGTTCTCATTCTCACACACCCACCCTCATCAGTTCGCGCCGCCGCCGCGAGCCAGAGCCCAGGAGGCGCTTCTCTTCGAACCCGCTCTTCACTCTCGCCGTCTTCATCGGCCTTGCGTGGAACTCCGAGTAGCAGGCGTCGTCGCTAGAAAGTGAACTCGCTATTCGCTCACGAATAATTTTTCATCCTTTAGCTTCAGGTAACGTTATATGGTTTGTTGTTTGGGTAGGATTCAATTCAATCTCCATTTTTCAGTTTTCCTATACTTATATTTTAGTTCATAGTTAGTTTGTTTTGTGACTGTTTACAACTTTTGACAATACTATGCTACGAAATACTTCTTCTCCACTTAATTCTTACTCTGGACTCTTGATGTATTCAAATGGTTTAGGTGATGGAGGGTATTGCTGGATGAATATGTAGTGAGGAATGGGGATAAATTATGGGATGTATATAGAAGTTTTGGTTGATACTTGTTACTCTGTCTAAACTTGACTGAACCGAAAATTAACCATGTATCCATTTTGTTTGAATTCTCAAAACAATGTTTCTACAATTGTGGTTTTCATTTTTATTTCTTACTCTTCCATTCCATCTAAGCATTCTACTGGACAAGATTGGTAGATTTTTATTGCATTTATTTTTTAAAATATTTTATGCCCAATTCAATTATTATTTTGATTAACTTTTTAGGCCTTGGAGCTGTCTGGAACACTGCAAAGGTGGAAGCGGGGTCAATTGTTGCTATTTTTGGCCTTGGAACTGTTGGGCTGGCTGTGAGTTTCTCAAAAGACTAGTAAAATTTTTCTTTTTTGCTTCGTCTTGGGGATTTCATTTTGACTAAAAATTCATACTTAATAGGTTGCATAGTGTTTCTGCAGGATTATGGCATCAACTTTGATTACATAATTTAAATTTTTTCAAATTAGGTGAGTCAACCCGTTTAGTCCACCAACCCGTGGTGGGTCGGGCCGGGCTCAACTTTTTTCAGCTTACCAATAAATAAACCGGGTTGGGTTGATCCACCAATAACTCAACCCGTGATGGGCCGGGCCGGACCGGGCCGGATTACCCATTTTGACAGCTCTACTTAATAACATTATATATATCAACACCAAAAAAGAAAACATTATATATATATATATAAAGAAAATAACTTAACACTGATTTCTCTTATTTTTGAAGCGAGGGAGAATATAAAAAGATGATAAAGTTGCGTTATTGAGTAACCTAACCCACTCTGAACAAAAAAAAAAAAAAAAAAAGGTGAAGACGGAGCAGTGAGGTAACCTCTTCTCTGTTGGATTTTCCTTGGTCTCTCTGCATCCATGGCGGCTATCAGTCTGAGGAAGGGGAACACGCGCCTGCCGCCGGAGGTGAACCGCGTGCTGTACGTTCGCAACCTTCCCTTCAACATCACCAGCGAGGAGATGTACGACATCTTCGGCAAATACGGCGCGATTCGCCAGATCCGCATCGGAACCAACAAGGACACTCGCGGAACGGCGTTCGTCGTCTACGAGGACATCTACGACGCCAAGACCGCCGTCGATCACCTCTCCGGCTTCAACGTCGCCAACCGTTACCTGATTGTGCTGTATTACCAGCAGGCTAAGATGAGCAAGAAGTTCGATCAGAAGAAGAAGGAGGACGAGATCGCGCGTATGCAGGAGAAGTACGGTGTTTCCACCAAAGATAAGTAAATACTAAATGAATAAATAGTTCGTCCTCCTCGCAGATGCTTTAGATTCATAGATAGTTAGGGTTTTCCAGACTTTTCCTTTGGTTTAATTGTACTGTTATTGGATTTATTGGAGTCTGGCACAGGCACAGTGAGCGCGCATCGATGAGAAAAAAATAAGAAAAATGAAATTAGCTTCTCCATACACTAGAATTATCTTGTAGAAGCTGATATGAGTGGAGAAGTTTTTTATTCTTGTCCTGTGCATGTGCAGAAGCGTATGTAAGGAATTATGAATGTTTACAATGTTACTTGTGAGAATGAAATGAAATTTAACTTTATCCAAATGCTTAGGGTTATTGGTCAGCTCTTTCTGAGAAACTCGCTCTTTGGACGTTTATCTATATCTATCGTCTATGTCTGGTTTAATTTTATCGTTGTTTGACTAAATGCTAAAGTACTTATTCAATAGTGTGAACTTTTTCGTAAGTCTGAAGTGGAGGGACTCAACTTTTTCGCCTCCAGCTTTTGAAGGACCTTGCTCATTGGTAAATTTAGTTTTTTTAGCATGTGCTCTATTTGAAAGTATTGAATGAGAATCAATGAAATTTGTTTCTGCAAGTTGAGTGTATGAGGTTCCTTGAGATTTTCCTTCTGTTTTCCTAATTTGAGTTCATGTGGTTTGACATTGGTATATGGTGTGTTGAGCTTCTGTACCTATTTTCTTAATAGTTGCTTCTGCACATTATATGTCTGTCAAGATGTTTGAACCATGCCTCTTGGTCCTGCGTATTAGATTTCATCTCAATTTCACTTTATGAATTGGTCCATTTTGTCCTCATTTGTTGATCAGCTTTGGTCCCTTTGTGGTGAAGGGATAGTGTGTTTAATGGAAGATTTTTTTAGTACAATGACTATTCCTGAAAGTCTCTCTAGTCTGATCCCTAATTTTGATTGGATATTTTTGTTCCTAGAAAATCATTTGCCTCGCCTGAGGCTCTTATATTTTCTGCTGTCATATATACCATGTTTCATTCGTTAAAATTGTATGGTCTGTTTGATTCATTTAGAATGAACTACAATCACTGATTCTCTAGCCTTTGGGAAATTTGGTAGTGTGAATTCTGAATAAAGCTCTTGGTTCTGCAATCACTTGCCAGTTGCCACATTTTCTTGTTTTAAGTGAAAATTTTGGGAAACATGGTGTTTTAATGGAACCCATTCATTTAGTGAAAATTTTCAAATTTGAAGGTACTTAAATCCGGTGTTTGTGAAGAATTGCCTTGGGTTCAACATAGTGATTCTTATTACCTTGGTCCGTCTTGTATCATATGCATCTCAGATTTATACTTGAAAGAGGCATGTCTTCAAAATCGTAAAGGCATTTTTGTATCAGGTGAAAATAGCCAAAATTGATGTGGCCTTGTATTGTCCCATTTTAATCGAAACTCATTGATCATGTAATCGTTTTTGTTTCTGTAAGAGCCATGGACCATTTTTGTGCATCAAATATCACTTAATTTCTTTCATATTATTACATCCGAGTGTTGATATGGAGCTGAATTCAGCATTAATTTCAAGAGTGGAAATCTTATGTAATGCTTCTCTCAGTGTGATTAAAAGTGTATTTAAATATATAAACTTAACCATGAACATATTTGAACCTATTGTTGAAAAGGAATCAGTACATATTTAAAAATTCTTTTAATTTGATTCCTGAGTGAGAAGCGATTATAGTACAAGATTCAATTCAATTCTACACAGGAAAGAAAAGAAGAAAAAACCGAAACCAACCAATCAAACACCTAGCATACGTCCAAATTTCTCAAATGTTGGTTCAAGTTATTTTCCCCCTCTAATTTTGTATGTTTTCCACCTCGACCCATTCCTCACATGTATATTCCCAGTCCCAACCAAACAGCTATCAGGCACAACACTCCTTGATTTTTCACTCACCACCATCTGCGCCAGCCAAAGACACAGGGCTGAATATCTATGCATAATCCCCAATTAATATAAGCTTGAATCACGCCTCTTCTTTGTATTAACTTCTAGGTTTCCTTTGTTCATCATTGCAGCAAACTCGTCATAGTTAATCCGACCATCCTGCACAGACAAACAAATTTTTATGGGTTTTACTTTTTATTTAATGAGTATCATTCATGGTTTAAAAGTTTTTAATAAATTTTAACCAAAGTAGAGAATGTGTTAAAATGAGTGTTTTGGAAAGTGTTACTAACACTTCTCTTAGAACTAAAAGTGTGCATGTAATTCACGCGGGATAGGACTTACATTATCTGCATCAACTTCTGAAATGATTTCCTTGATGTCCCTGCCATCGTGCATGTTAAACTCATGGAGAGCCTGCTCTAGTTCTTCAATTGTAATGTACCTGATTATGACAAAGCAATTAACACCATTCAATTTCCAAAGGGGTGGCTGATATATATATTCAATCTATTGATTCTCTTTTCTCTTTACCCGCTGTTATCTTTATCGAAGTATTGGAAGGCAGTATAAAGATGATCTTCTTTGTTCATTCGGTTCATGTGCATTGTTGCTGTAATGAATTCATCATAATCTATGGTTCCATTGCCATCAGCATCTGCCTGTAATATATAGGAAAGAAAAGAATCTAAATAATGGCATTGGAGAGAGAAATTACTATTGGGGACAAGTTATTTTTTTTTAAAAGAAGTAACTTACAGCTTCCATTAATTGCTTAACTTCTTGTTCTGTAAGCTTAGTCCCTTGTTTTGCAAGACCTTGCTTGAGCTCTTCAATTGTAATGGTTCCACTGTTGTCAGTATCCATTCCCTTAAACATCTGCTTCAATCCCATTATTTCTTCCTCTGACAGGCAACCCGCGATGACCTATGTAAATTTAACATCACATTATTAAGTTATACAACAATTTCATTATTCATGAAAAATGGAGAGCCAAATAGCATTACCCTTAGAGCAACTTTCTTGAACTCGTTCATTGCTCTGAACTGTTTCAGTCTATTCAGCACTGCGTTGTCAAGAGGAACATCTGGTGCTTCTCCATCCTCCTTGATCCATGGATGATCTGTTTTTTGCATATGCTATTAGAATTGCATTCAATTTAAGATGTTCATAGAAAGGAAGTCAACTATTATTATACTCACTCAGAACTTCGTGAGCCGTAAGCCTCTGCCTGGGATCTGAATTCAACATTTTCCTTACAAGATCCTTCGCTTGAGGTGAAATGGAAGGCCATGGATCGCTAGTAAAGTCAATATGGCCTCGTAGTATTGCATTGAATATCCCATTTTCGGATTCTGTCATATCAAAGCCATCAATTTTAGAGGCATTCTATTTTGTTAATCAAACACTACATACTCTGATAATATAGAAGTAGCTTTAATATTGAGTGAATGAATCCAAACCTGCCCAAAATGGAGGAACACCACATAGAAGAATGTATAACATAACACCAATACTCCATATGTCAACTTCTGGCCCATATCTTCTCTTCAACACCTCTGGAGCAATGTAATATGCACTGCCAACAATGTCTTTAAACACCTCTCCTATCAAAAAGGAATGAATTCCATATTAAACTATGGTTCATTTGAATCTGAACATTGTGCTATCATGCATTACCTTCAAATTGAAAATTGAACCTGATAATATATAAACTAAAAAGACAGAAGAGAGATGGGTGAGAATTATTCACCTTGCTTGTAGAAAACTGAGAGACCAAAATCAGTGGCCTTGAGAGGTGCATTCTCATCTTTGTTCAACAAGAGGAAATTCTCAGGCTTGAGATCTCTATGAATGACCCCCATGGAATGGCAGGTGTGGACAATCTGAACAATGGTTCTCAACAATGAAGCTGCAGCACGTTCAGTGTAATGTCCCTTGGCAATGATGCGATCAAAGAGCTCCCCTCCAGCACACAACTCCATGACCAAATGAACAGATTGCTTATCCTCATACACATTAACAAGCTCCACAATGTTAGGCTGGCCTGAGAGATGGTGCATGATCTGCACCTCCCTCTTCACATCATCTATATCCTCCTTGTTCACCAGCTTCCTCTTGGCTATGGTCTTGCATGCATATTGCTTCCCTGTGCTCTTCTGTGTGCACAAATGTGTCACACCAAACTGCCCTCTCCCTAGCTCTTTCCCCATGCTGTAGCTGCTCCTCACGTCCTCCATCGGCCTTCCAAGCACTGGTCCGATCGGGGCTGGCTTTGAGTGCTTGCCAGGATGATGAGAGGCTGGCTTGGATGAGGGTGGTGGGGTAGTCGCACTTGCACCACCCTCGTGGTTTGGTGGGTTGGATTCTCCCTTGTTCTCAGGGTCATTGGTGCCACCTGAGCAACAATTGCCCATGGTGGAATGGAAGGGAGAGCACGAACAAGGAGGGTGGAAGGGAAGGGAAGAGAAGGGAGAGTAAAGGGGTCAAGGTGGTGAGGTTTGAGAGATGATCAACAATGTTGTTGTTGATGTTCTCTGAAGAGAAGGTGGTAGCATGGGGGGATCCAAATGTGTTTCTTGTGTTGGGAAAACAAAAAATTATCTAAAAAAAACTATGGGGAAAAGGAAAAGGTGTTAAAAAGAATGGCTTTGGTGAAGATAATTTTAGGGGTGTTTGGCATTGGAAGGGTAAGGTTTTATTCGGACATAAGGGTGGGGAGGAGTTTTCGGAGTGAAGAATAAAAATGGATTTTGGTCTGTTATACAGGTCAAAGGATGTGGAACAACTCACTTAACACATACTTCTATTCTATTTTTTGTTTTCCTGCCCAAAATGTGCAAGTGTAAACCTGTCCTCAACAATACTATTAAATATACAGTTTTTCTTTTAAAAAAAAAATTTGAGTCGATACACCTAGCCACTTGGAATTAGTTAACTAAGTAGTTTTATTTTATATATCAAGCCTAATTTTATTTTTACCTTTTTTCTTATACAACAATATTTACACATAATAAGAGGAGAGGTAAATGTGTATATTATTATGAACTTCTCTATAATTACTTATAGTAGAAAAAATAAGAAAATATAATTTTTTTTAAGAGTTAAAGTTAATTTATGTATAATTTAATTTATACATAAATTAATTTTAACTAATGAAATAAGCTAATTTTATTTTATGAAAAAAGTATATTTGTTCTCTTTTCTTATTTTTTTTTCTTTCCACAAGTTTTTTTTTAAAAAAATTTATTCAAACAGATTTTAAATGATATAATTGAAAAGAGATGGGAAAAAAATGCGTCGTAGAAAAGTGAAATAATAATTTCACTCATACTACCAGCTTCAATTAATTTAATCGTAATTTCATTAAAAGTATTATTCATACATGGAAGTCCTAATGTAATATCAGTTGTTAAAGAGTTTATTTGGCTCTATGTTATTATTATATAATAATAACTCGTGTTTAAAATTGCAAGTGTTTACTTAAATTGACGAAGATAACTTGTGAGCTTTTGTAAAGTCTTTTTTATAAATAAGATTACTTCAATATTCCTATCAATTGTAATAATTTCATCGTGGTCTCAAGTAATTAACTTAAGCTTGCATGTAGAAGGGCATCTCTAACGAGTAACGAGACTTGTTCTCCTCATACTTAAGAGTAAAAGAATCTCAAATATAAAATTTGTTCTATTGAAGACATATCAATTATAAAATGAGTTGTTTCTTCCGACAACAGTTTCTTCCAGATATTGTGGGATCATGCTTTAATATATAATAATATAAAATTACTTTTGTTTCACTTTTTATATTTGTTGACCATCTTTTATCATCTATTCTATGAAAAAGGAACATTTTGTGTCAAGAAAAACGAACGTTAAAATTACTTGCTGAGCCAAAACCAGCTTCACATAAGGAATGGTATATAAAATACGTAACCTTAAAATTGAAACTAGGAGACTCCAACTCTTGATCTAAAATGAATACACGTTCATACCAAAAGAATTCCAATTCCTAAAGGTAACATGGACATCCCAAAAAATCTTGCTCTCATGTACAATGATGGATGGACCCAGTAATGACAGAATAATGTAAATCAGTATGTGGGAACTGATGGATCAACCTGGACAGCATAGGCATGGATTCCCCCAGAAAGATTGTATACTTTCCTAAAACCCTGAAAAATTCACCAACCAAATCAACAACTCCATACATTTCTTATATTACATAAAATGAAAAGGAATGGGTAAAATTGGAAATCATATGGAAAACAATATAAGCTACAGCTAAAAAAAAAAAAAAGACTTAATTGAGTTTTTATTACTCTAGTATTATAATTGTGTGATTTTGGTCCCTAAGGTTCTAATTGAACAATTTTAATCTTTCAAATATCACAATTGTACAATTTAGTCCCTCAAGTATCATAATTATTTTTTACGTATTTAAGTTATATATGTTATAATTTTCTTTCATATATTAAATGATGTATATTTATTATTACTAATATATGTAACTTAAATAAGTAAAAAATTATATCATTGCGATATTTCATAGGCTAAAACCACACAATTACAATACTTGAAGGACTAAAATTGCTTAATTAAAATTTGAGAGACTAAAATCGCACAATTGTTCAGGAACCAAAAACTCATTTAAGCCAAAAAAAAAAAAAAAACACATTATCATCCCACAATGACACCTAGTTCACTAAATTACAGATTACAAACAATAATCACTTCACTGCAACTTGTGAAAATGAGAATTAATTTCTAAATTGCATTTGGGAATTTTAATTCCATGTTATACTCACTGACATCACAGTCTTTATCTTGTAAGCAACATAGGGATGTTGCATGTCTAAAAATCATACAGTTATAAATACAGTATAGCAATAGCTGTCAGCATGGCTTTGCAGTTACACTGATACCAGAAAGTAAATAAATGAAGAGGCAAAACACACATACACGCACTTGCACTTAAAGGCCTGACAAAAAGGGATTTTTTTTTTTTTTTTACCTGTGACTGCAACCACTTGGCAACCTGTAATGATCGCATGCCATGATGACACTGCATTCAGAATTCAGAAGTCAAGTTATTGAACACACAAGCACAAAAAAGAAAAGGCATTGCTGAGCCAAATCCAAATTTAATCATCTAGAGCATTACAGCAACAAGTTAACATAGCGGTAGCGGACAGTAAGACTACAATACTAAACGGCAAACTAGAAATTCTGAAGAAGAATGAATTTAAAATTCAAAACTGGTTCCTTCTTAAATTAAATACTACCTCTAGTCCTACTTGTAAACAACAAATTGGATTTTTCTTTGGTATTAATTATAAGCAGCAACCATTAGTTTTTAAAATTACTTAAGAGTAAATGTCTTTTATACCCTTTATTTATTGTTAACTCTATTTCCTATGCATTTACTTATAATTAACATTAAATATAATGGCCACTTAAAGTAAAGGTTATATTTGAAATAAAACTTGATTTTATGATAGAATTAATTAAAAGTAAACATATTAATTACTTTTTTTTAGTCTTATGATTTGTCCTATATTACTTATAATTAGGACCGAAGGTAGTATCTCAAAAGAAAGGCCTCTAGGAAATCAAACTTTGACTGTAAAGCAGGAGCCTAATCAACGAATTCACTATTCAGGTTTCAATTTTTTTTATCAACTTACAACCTCCAAACCAAATAAGGAGGAGAGGGAGGAGACTAGCAACAAGAACAATAAAGAACCAAACTCAACCCATTTAGAAAACAATAATAATTAGCATTAGAGGTATAGTTTCCTGGATGCCTTCTAATAGAATTGACATCTTTTGGAAGAAAAACTGCACTTACCAAAACATATGTATCCTTTTGAGGGTCAAATTTGGTAGTTATTTCAGGCCCCCAGCTTCCAAATTGGCGGAGGGGAAGAACGGTAAATCCTGGCAAAGATGCTTTGGCCCTGTGCATGATGAGAATGTCATTTAAATGGAGAAAAACCAAATCTGACACGAAAATAGACATATGCAAGATAGGTGGATGATTCCAAAACGTACAGAACAAAAGAAAAACAGATGCACATAAGTATAAGAGCTACTAAATGAATATCCCCTACAAAAGTAGATCCTCTTGTTGCCTTTGAGATGTCAAAAGACCATCAATGTTGAAGTTCTCTCAAAACTTTCAATTGGACTATATATCATATTTTCTCTTTTTCTCAAGCTTTTTGCCATATCAACTTATAATCACTCACTTGGTCTACTTACAAATATTTAACCAAATGCAATCACGCAATAATTCATTTCAATGATTTTCAAAATTAATTAGTTGAGGAAAATGAAAGCATACACTTCTTCAGGCTCTCGAACATCAATTAACTGTGCCTCCTCCAAAAAGTTGGGATCTTGAATTTTCGCATGCAGCTCATCAGGTTGAATGTCTTCAAGAATTGACCCTTCCCTAACATTTAAAAGAGAAAGTTTACGAGACATAAGAACACTCATTGAAAGAACTAACAACAAGAAGTTACTAAGTATTATCCTACTAGGTGGTGTTGACGAATTGGACCAAACAATACCATTAGGCTCTATCAAGAGCCAAATCTTCAAAAAAAATCATTGAAATTAAACACATTTAATTATCCAATTCAGAAACAGAGGCCTGAAAAATGAAAATACCTTTCAGATAAAACCTGCAGCAAGTGCCATCCGAATTTCGTTTTGCACTTTACAACTTTGTTTAAAGGCGCACTAAATGCAGCCTCTTCAAACTCAGGAACCTGTCACATTTTCACCATCAGACACATATTTGCAATCACATAATTGTACAATCGTAATAAAATTAATGGAAAAAAAAACATTTCTATAACCAGATTACTACATCAATTGCTTCCTCTACAGAAACATGATAGAATTATCATCAGTCAAGGGAAATGCAAGAAAAAGCACAACATAATATCTAATTTGCCCCTATCTCGCCTTACCAAAGAAAGTTCATAGCAAATTATATATGTATCCTTTCCTCTGACAGATGAAAACAGATTCATTTATACAAGGCAGTGATGAATACCATCTGAAACTGCCTTCAAACAAATCACGAAAAGTTGCAAATTCAGGGAAACCCTCAAAACAAGGTTTAATCTAATCTAATCTATAAAAAAAAAATACCATTTGTCCCTTCCTGACCCACCCAAGCATTCCTCCATCTTCTTTGGACGGGCAAATTGAATGTTCCACAGCAAGGTCACTCAAATCTTCACCTGAACACACAACACACAAGTACACAACAACAAAGCCTTAGAAAGTTAAACTTGAAATAAACAAATAAATAAATAAATATCTCCCAAAACCTAACCCCACACAGTGGTAGGGCAAAAATAACCCAATTCACTTGGTGCCATTAACCTGCAGAGATTCTTTGCTGAAGATCCAACAGAAGCCTCTGGTCATCTTCTTTGACCAACAAATGCTGCACCAATAGTTCCCTTGGCCTAGCACTATCGGCACCATCACCCCCAGTGCCATAAGAAGCTGAAAAATCAGATTTTTACATGAAATTCGTTTAGCCATATTACAAAAAAGTGTTGATACATAATCTAATGACATCAGAAACAAAATTCACTCAAAGAAACATTGAGGGGCATGTACCTGTTGCTTTGATGGACATAAAGGGTGAAAGAGGAAGTGAAGGTGGATGGAAACGGAAGGTTCTGGGAATAGAGGTGGGAGTGTGAGAATGAGATTGGGAATGAGAAAGGGAAAAGGAGAAGATTGAGGGATAGAGGCAAGATTTTGGAGATGTCACTCCCACTCTTAACTGACAAACTGATCTCAACATTGACATTGTTATTTGCTTCCCCAACACACACAACTCAATTCAATGATAATATAAAACAACAACATTTCATCCTCTAGACTTCAAATCATATGTTTTTTTGACTTTTTTTTTTAATATATCAATTTTTTTTTTTATTTTTCTGAATAATTTCACCTCCATTTTATTTATAAAAATGACCCATGGTGAGAAATTGGTTGGGAGCCGATTTCTCACCTTCAATTTTTATAACATGTAAAGATTTGCAGTGAAAAATCGGTTAATGCGAAATCGATTTCTCAACTGTGTTATTTTGTTTTTTGTTTTTTTTTTTGTTTTTGGTTTTCTTTTCGTTTTTGTTTTTTTTTTCGTTTTTGTATTTTGTTTTTTTTTTCGTTTTTGGTTTTTGTTTGTTTATTTTTTTTTCGTTTTTGTTTTTTTTTTGTTTTTGGTTTTTGTATTTTGTTTTTTATGTTTGTTTTTGGTTTTTGTTTGTTTTTTTTATTTTGTTTATTCAGATTTCTAATTTTTTATTTTCTTATATTAATTTTAAATATTCAGCTAAATCTGTTTTATGACTCAGAAAACTTATATATTTTTGAAAGAATTTAGGGTAAATTTATTTTTGGTCTCTCAAATTTAAAATTGTTATTTTTAGTCCCTGTAATTTCAAAAAATCTTAATTTAGTATCATAAGAGAAAATTAAGCGTTTTAACCGAAGTTTGCGATACAATGTCCATAAAATTTATAAGGTGATAATAAAATTTATAAATGAAATGTTCTTATAAATAAATAAATAAATACAACTTCTTTTAAAGCTTTTTTATTAATTAAAACCTCCTATTTTGTTTTATTTATGAAAACTAGTGGTGTTACGTATCTATTCCTCACATTTCCACATACAATACTCAATATTCTTGGTTGATAGAGAAGGTGATAGTAATATTGATCAAAGAGATATCCCAAAAAGTTAATTGTACTTTTCTAAGCTAGTGAAAGTTTTCTTTGTTTTTCCATCTTTATCGTGCAACGTGTGGACTTATTAGACCTAGAAGGTTCACTTGCTTCAAAGAGTATATGCTCGAGAGTACTATGCCAAAAGTTTTATGCATTTTAATTAATGAAAGCATTGTTTAAATGTTTAAAACTCGCTAAAAATACTTAACTAATATCTTAAAAGCATTCCATATTTTATTTTAAAAAACTTCTCTTTTAGGATAGTTAAAATTATTTTGTATATAAAAAGGTTTAAGCAAAATATATCATTCAAAATGATGATTGGACACTTCTTATAAATAACACTAAAGAATTCAGTAAAAAAAAAAAAAGTTATCGTTCAACCATTTTCATATGAAGTTTTGGATGCTTTGTTTAAGAAAAATACTTTGGACTAAATCTGTTTTATGACTCAGAAAACTTATATATTTTTGAAAGAATTTAGGGTAAATTTATTTTTGGTCTCTCAAATTTAAAATTGTTATTTTTAGTCCCTGTAATTTCAAAAAATCTTAATTTAGTATTTATCTTCACAATATTGAAGAAAAACAATTTATGCTTGAAGAACTGATATCCAAATACATATTCATAGCATTTTTGTTTTTCAAATGATTATATTTTTGAACCAGTTGATTCTTTTTGTTCCGTTATACATGTGCTTGCATAAATTTTTTTATTAATTACATGATGATAACTTGGCTAATATTTGTTGAATGTCACTTCACAACTTCAAAACATAAGAGAAAATTAAGCGTTTTAACCGAAGTTTGCGATACAATGTCCATAAAATTTATAAGGTGATAATAAAATTTATAAATGAAATGTTCTTATAAATAAATAAATAAATACAACTTCTTTTAAAGCTTTTTTATTAATTAAAACCTCCTATTTTGTTTTATTTATGAAAACTAGTGGTGTTACGTATCTATTCCTCACATTTCCACATACAATACTCAATATTCTTGGTTGATAGAGAAGGTGATAGTAATATTGATCAAAGAGATATCCCAAAAAGTTAATTGTACTTTTCTAAGCTAGTGAAAGTTTTCTTTGTTTTTCCATCTTTATCGTGCAACGTGTGGACTTATTAGACCTAGAAGGTTCACTTGCTTCAAAGAGTATATGCTCGAGAGTACTATGCCAAAAGTTTTATGCATTTTAATTAATGAAAGCATTGTTTAAATGTTTAAAACTCGCTAAAAATACTTAACTAATATCTTAAAAGCATTCCATATTTTATTTTAAAAAACTTCTCTTTTAGGATAGTTAAAATTATTTTGTATATAAAAAGGTTTAAGCAAAATATATCATTCAAAATGATGATTGGACACTTCTTATAAATAACACTAAAGAATTCAGTAAAAAAAAAAAAAGTTATCGTTCAACCATTTTCATATGAAGTTTTGGATGCTTTGTTTAAGAAAAATACTTTGGACTAAATCTGTTTTATGACTCAGAAAACTTATATATTTTTGAAAGAATTTAGGGTAAATTTATTTTTGGTCTCTCAAATTTAAAATTGTTATTTTTAGTCCCTGTAATTTCAAAAAATCTTAATTTAGTATTTATATTCAAATTTTGTTAAGAAATTTATCAAACATTATTGCATAAAATCTACTTATTGGTGTCCCTATTAGTGAAAATATCACATTAAATCTGGTTGATATTGCATAACTGTCTTAATTAGTTACTTTCAAATATGTTATCGATGACCTAAGAAACTAAAACAATTTTTTTGAAAAAAAATATGAAAATAAGAAAATTAAAAATCTGGAAAAAAAAATAAAAATAACAAAAAAAACAAAAAAGATGAACCAAAAACGAAAAAAAAACAAAATACAAAACAAAATACAAAAACGAAAAAAAAATAAAACAAAAACGAAAAAAAAAACAAAAACGAAAAAAAAAATAAACAAACAAAAACGAAAAACAAAAAAAAAACAAAATACAAAAACAAAAAAAAACAAAAACAAAAAAAAAACCAAAAACCAAAAAAATAAAATAAAATAAAATAACGCAGTTGAGAAATCGGTTTTACGTTAACTGATTTCTCACTGCAAATCTTTACATGTTATAAAAATTGAAGGTGAGAAATCGGTTCCCCCAACCCTAAACCCTAAACTCTAAACCCCAACCGATTTCTCACCTTAAATAGTAAATGGGTCATTTTGATAAATAAAATGGGGGTCAGGTTATTCAGAAAAATAAAAAAAAAATTAATATATTAAAAAAAAGTCATGTTTTTTTACCCTTTTTCCAAACAAATTAACATGACCTAAATATTTAATCCTTCTTTTAAAAAAATTTATTCTTTTTTATTATATTTATAACATTTGTAAAACTATTTTGTTAAACTATTTCGCTGTGTTGAAGTTAACAGTATATAATTTTTATTTTTATTTTTCAGAACGAGGCAAAGAAGTGTCTGTGTTTTACTAGTTATAATGATTTTTTATTTTTGTTCGTCCTGGAATATCTATTGCCGATAGGCGTGACTAATCTCCTCACTACGTTGGAGGCACCTTAAAAGGTGAGATAACTGGTCCCAAGATTTAACGCGACTGCATACACAAGGCAAGATTCAAATCTCTGATCTTGCTTAAGTGTAAATCAACTCCTATCGCTGAATTACACGCTTAGAGTCATTTATTTAATGTAATAGTGCACAATAAAGTAAGAGTCTACTTTAGTTTTCTAAAATTATATAAACAAGTGTTTTAGTATGTAGTTACATGTTTATTATATAATAAAATTTATAATAAATAATATATAGAATAAATTTTATATTTAAATATATAAATTATATTATATTTAAAGTTTGTATAAAGAAATATTTTAAACATATAAATTATATTTTAGATTTATGATAAATAATTTATATTATGATACAAAATTACTTTAATTATTAATAATTTATTTTAAAAAATATTAAATTTTGGTTTACAAATAAATATAATAAATACAAATTAAAATAAATATAAAATTAAAAAAATATCTTAAAAACTCTCTTATTAAAGAAAAGTACCTAAAACACTTTCATATAATTATTCTCATATATATATATATATATATATATATAAAATTTAATATTATCAATTTTTATTTATGTATCTTCCATTATACGGTGTTAACATCTACCTTCATCAAATTCGATCTCTACGAGTAAAAAAATATTTATATTATTTATTTAACAGTCATAAATATATTTGATCAACATAATAGGATCATGATTAAATAAATATATATTATTTATTTAATAGTTATAAATATATAGGATTATCGAGTTAAGATAGTAGCATGAAGTTATATATTCTAACATTTGTGACTATTTGTATTACTTAAAAAAATGAATACATTTATTTTATATATTAAATTTGAATAGCTATATCGTCAGAGTGTATTTACCTTCATTATTCAATGATTTTTTTTAATTATTTTTTCTAATATTTTTTTTTCATAACATCTTGTCTTCAGTGATGTGTTTTTTTAATTTATTGACGAAAAATATACTTTTCATTTTTTAAATTAAATTTAATATTATTTATATAAAAAAACTATCAGTAATAATCATATTTATATCCCTCTCCTTGACATAATTATTTCTGGAACTATTTTTTATTAAAAACGTTTTTAATTTTTTCTTTAATGACAGATTTAGAAAATATATCTATAATTAAAAATAATTTTAAATCATAATATAAATTACTTAATATAAAATTAAAATATAATTTATATGATCTAAAAGACTTATTTATTACAATGGAAAAATAACCGAGTGTGTGATCAAACTCTTCCATGATTAGATCAAGGCCAATGACAACCTAATAGAGGCAATAGCCATTGAGAACAAACTCAGTTCCATTATTGAGATTCATGGATTATAAGAAGTTACAACTCGTTAAGGAGATTAAGATTTAGATTGAAAGGTTTAGGATTTAGAACATTAAATTTGGATCGAAGAAGTAAAAGACGATCATGAGGGTAAGAATGAGAGTGCGATGAAGTACATTTTAAAATTTTGTCTAAAAAAATTTAAAATCAATTTGCCTACATGGCAATGGTGAATAGAATATAATGAATATAATAAGTATTATGTTTGTCATGTAAATTTTTTTTTTAACAGTAGTTAATGGTAAGGATTATTTTTGAAACATTATAAAAAGTTAAAATAAAATAGCTACAAAAAAATTTACATGACCAAAAGTGAAAAAATGGGAAATTACATAGATAAAAATTATATTTAAGAAAAAAAAATATCACAAACTTTAACTTAGTGCGAGAAACACCACTCGTTAATCAAACCATTAAATTTACCAATTTGCATATACACAATCAGTTATGTACTCAGTGGTCAAGGTAAGAACATGCTGGATTTTTTCTAAGCAAATCCAAATGATGGAATGTTGTTTCCTCAGTCAACATCAACAAAGTGACTTTTATTCTCTATTTACTTTTTTCTTAGCTAACACCAAAATTGAACTTGGGATATCTTTTCTACCTGGACTCTTTCTTTCTCACTTGGGCTTAGCTCATAAAAAATGCTTAGCAACAAATATTACAAGAACAGAATATTCCTTTCTCCTTGTGTTGAACTGTCTTCAATGACATGTCAACTCATTCTAGCCTCTCTAGGTGGAAGTTGAGAAGGAAGCACCCGAGGAACCATTTGAAGGGGTCCAAGCATAAATGAGTAACCCCACTAAGAGAATGACGGCCCCTGCCATAAATCCTGTTGGAAGAGAGGAAGCAACACCAAGATACGGCAATGGCATGGTGAACACATAGATAGATATTGGGACTGTCATAAAACCAAATTGCATCAGTTGGGTATGCTTCATAATTTCACATTAGCATGCATCATTAATTGATGTTATATTTATATGTAAATTCACACATTACAAGACAAGAAGATAACTTGAATATTTCATCATAACTCCCTTCCCTTGGTTTCCTGAATTCATGTTGTTGGTGTGCAAGTGTAATGGAATTCCTATATTAGATAGAGTTGAATACGCTGAATAGCATATAAGTGAAAAAGACTCATAAACCTAATGCATTAAGATTTTAGATTATGATTTAGCATCAAGTTCATTTGTATGGTTTGTTTATCACCCAATGTGAAGTTTCTTCTACTGTTTAATCTCCTCTCGTGTTTTCAACTGGTGTCAATATAAAAGAGAAATTATTGTATGGTTTCATACTACCACATGTATGTGGTTCTGTTCAATCTACACGTGCCATGTAGTCGAGTTTTATTAACTCTTTCTTGTAAATTAAAAACGTTGACTATGTGTCACATAGAGAACATGGACACATGGTGGTCCAGGACCAAACAACAATTTCACCGATATAAACTTCAATATACTTCAATATAGCTATGCTTGGTGAAACAAATCGCATACCTGAAAATGTTGAAGCAAGACAAGATACAACAGCTGAAGAGATCTTGAGGAGATGAAGCAATGCAATATTGAAGCCAATGTTTACAATAATAAACAGCAGAGGCAGTAGAGGGGCACCATCACATCCTGGAACCAGAAAACAGTTTCTTTCATAACAATTATCACAAAAATAATAAGAATAAAAAATCAGAATTTCATCAAACAGATAATGGCTATTCTTCTAGAAATTGTACATGCATGGTAATATTGCCTTGTAACTTGAGGCTATTTAAAATTGGGAGTGAAATATCTAGAGATTAGTTTTCATACATTTTTTATAGATCATCCCTGAATTTTTCGACCTCATTTTTAAGTGGACACCAAACTGACCATTAGGAGATATGACAATTTGGAAAGGAAATACAGCTTACCACTTGATAATGTACCAATATTTAGGAAACAGGCTGCACCATCTTTAAGGTAGTTTGGTAGTTGACCGAAGGGGATGCCCCATAATTTTGACAAGAAGGGGAGAAGAAGGCATATGAATAATGCCTGCAATAAGCATATATTCTTGCATTTAGGCATCTATTTACATTAATATTCAGAACACTTAATTTTAATCCAAAAGATGAATAATATTACATGAAAGATTGCAGGATACCTACTTGGAAAGCAGATCCATATGAATTGACAACAAACAGGTCCATAGAACCTCCCTGGTTTAGATAATATTGAATACTGATTAGTATATTCCATCTCAGGAAGAAAAAAAAAATGACAGGTTTAAAAAGAACTAGTTTAGCAACATAACATGCATCTGAAAAGTGAGGTTTGGAAGCATTAGAGTCTCAGCACAATAGAATAATTCATTACTTAGGTTGAGTATCAAAATGAGTCCATCATGTGTCAGTGTGTCACTAAAGTGAAAGTTTTACTTCAATTTAGTAATACTTCTGCATTGTAGACACCCAATTTTTGTTCATTAGCTTGTGTCTTCTATCAGTTTCCAATGTGTATTGCAACAGGCTCCTTCGTATGTACAAATACATTATGTTGCCTCTACTTGTTAAGCAACCTCATCAATTTACTATAAGGAAACACAACTCAGGTATTTGTTGGTGATAAAAAATATGTGCATTCATAACGTTGATTATTTAGAAGAGATGGTGTGCATTTAAACATGTACGCATGGTGGTCTAGAACATATACAGTCATCCACCTGCTGCTTCCTTCCCTTTTATTAACACTTAAACATTAAACTACTGAATTAGTTTAATATCAGCATGTCTCTCATTAGCACCCACCTAAGCCCCAGAATTAGCTCAAATATGGAACACTAGGGGATGAAAGTTGTGAGTAATGAAATTAAACAAGTCAGGTAGAAAAACAACAAAAATATGAATACCGCGACCAATTGGCATTTAAAATTAAACTACTTAGATTTTAAATGATACCTGTTATAAGGACACAACCACATAAGTCAAGTGTTCTAAGATCAGGGCAGCCATATGCTAAACTCATCACTCCAACATCACTGACATTTTCACACCATCCAAGGTTCAAAAACTGTAACTGATTGCAATAGTGTCCAATAGCCTGCATTTCATTTATTTATTGGATTAATACTCAACCATCTTAGTTCTTCTATGAAGATGAGAAACCAACAAGTCTCAATCATACCTGTAGAGCAGTATCAGATGCAGCTTTAACACATCCACAGAGATTCAAAACTTTCAGCTTTCGGCAGAAGCTGGCAAGGTAAGCCAGGGCACTGTCACTAAAGGCTGAACAACCACTGATGTTCAGTTTTGTAAGATCACGGCAACCAAGGGCTACAGCATACAATGAACGATCAGTAAGCTTGAAACTTTTGCTGAGGTCCAGGATTTGCAGGTCATGACAGAAATTTGCAATAGTCTCAACAGCATTGTCCTCTAGTTGAGGCTTATCTTGTCGAAGGATTAAAGTCTGCAATTTTGTGAATTTAGGAGCAAGGGATAGGACCAGGTTATTCATGTTCTTGCTACACCTGAAAGGTATTACATAATAAAAGTTATTGCTCGTTTTTAACATAACCCCCCCCCCCCCCCCCCC